AGCTATATCCACCCTGAAGGTTAATCTTGGACAATATCTGATGATCGACTCTTTTAAATGAAACCAGAGAGCGTTGACAGATACAAGATTAACCTTCAGGGTGGATATAGCTCGCTCACACCGAGGACCTATCCACGTCATCATTTACCCAGAATGCTTTGTGTGGAAATAAAATGGCCCCGTCCATGTTAATATATTTTTAAACTTTTAGTTTAAAAATTATAAAAACTAAAACATCCTACAGTATTTTTACAGTCTTTAATTTGCAGTTAAAGTATATGTTTATCAAATAAAGTCTAATGTTACAACTAATCGGGGATCCCTTTAATGCTGACGTATTCAACCCTGAAATCTAACAGGTCTATAAAATGGTCTTTACAGTTATTTTAAACTTCATCACCGTTCACACAATAACGATTCAGAAGAAAAGCAGAACAAACTTCAGCGTGCCGTTCTGACAATCCAACACTGACAACACTGAGGGCCTCCCAGGAGCCTGGCTGCCTGACAGGGAGCTGGCAACAACGAGCTTCAGCTGCCAGAAGACCAAACTGGGAACCGACACTGGTAATTTGGTGTCGGTCTGTGACACTCACCGATGGTGCAGATTATGCTGGTGTTGCGGGCTGTGATTGGCTCCTGGTCGATGTCCAGCAGACAGAGATGCTCCAGGAAAGTGTCAGCCATGCTGGCATCGAGCTGCTGGCGCTGAATGAAAGAGTCCGGCATGGTCATCACATCCGAGTAGCGCCTGATGAGAGCTGCAGAGAAAATGTTGTGAGTGTTGAAACTAATCATGGAGGCCTGCAGCCAGCTCCACCGGAGAGGTTTTCAAGCAACGCTTCAGTCTGATAACACAAAACAGCAGCGTCGGTGATAATGTTCACTTTTCCTTTGTGTCAGGAAGAAAGAGCGTCTCACATAATAGAAATGTGCAGTTTTATCACTGAAAGAAGGGATCTGATATTAAAAACCACCTGCAGTCACACATAATTACAGTAACTAACATTCAGCTCAGTTAAAAGCTACAAAACCACTGCTCTACAGACAGGTTCTGACAATGCTTTTAGAAACAGATAAACATTGATAATATGGAGAAATAATCTGACATTTAAAAAATCCTCTCACGAGCAACACTTCTAAAAGGCTGCATGTCTTTTCAGGGATTTCAAGACCTCACGAGCTGTTTAGGAATGTATTATTTCCCAATTCACTGGAGCAGAAGGTAAGGTGAAATGGGACATGCTTTTCTCAGAAGGAATATTCAGACTGATAAGACAGCGTGGTTGCTTTTTCTGTTGTCTGCATTCAGTATGAGCTGCAGGCAGGAGCGTCCTTGAGAGCAAAATAAAAGCTGTCCTTTCAGAATCAAATTAAGTGTGAGGCAACAAATCACTAACAGGCAAACTTTATATTCTAACAAACCTCAATATGATAGTTGGTTTAAGGTTTTTAGCAAGTCTGTGGAGAGATTATAATAAACTACTAATTTCTTATGGATTTTTTTTGTTAAAACTGAAAGAAAAATTTTGAAACTGGAAATATATATTGTATATTTTTTGATTATATGATCTAACGACCTGCCATACCATAATAACCTGATACAACGGCCCGACACATTTTTATTTATGACACAACGGCCTGCCATTCATCGTTAATTATATTTTTTATTTACCGTTGTTTATTATGCAATGACTTGCTGCATTTTTTAACTCAAATGATACAACAGCCTGACATCATTTTAATTATATGATTCAAAAAAGTCACTAGCTGCATTTCCGTTACAAATGTGCGCAAAACTTTGTCGACATTCTGTTAATGTTGAAAAAACAGTTTCACAACTGCGGTGTTTCCATTAAGTAAGAAATGTT